GGGGGGAAGGAAGAGCAGCCCCTGCCCCTCCAGCTGCCCCGAAGCAGGTTTTCTCCTGGGCTGGGCACCCTTGGAGCCTGATGCACAGGGTCGTGCTCTGCAAATCTGCCGGTTTGGCCTTTCTATAGCAGGGAAACACCTTCTTTAGGGAGAAAATGGGACGCATGGACATATAAGATGCTCCGTGATACACGGAGACGCACAATAAGGTTAGCGGAGACCTGGGCCAGTCCTCTGGCATTTCTCATCTCCCACTCCACGCGTATTTTGAAGATAAACAGAAGGCTGCAGCCTCCGAGGCTTTTCTTGCAGGATTTTTCATTTAATTTAATTATTGGAGGCTGCTTCCCCCTGCGATAGGATCTGCGTGACATTTGCTAAGCCGAACCTCCTGGCACAGTCCACTCGCACGCACCAGCTCAGCAGAAGCCATCACATGGGTCCTCTTGCAGGAGGCAAAGCCGACGTCCCTGGGAGGAGGCTTGGAGCATCCCTATCCAACAGCTCACGGAGCGGCAAGCCAGAGGAAAACGGCGTGACTCCAGTGTCGATCCAGGCTGGGAGGTGCTGCCAGTGCCCGGCTCGTTGTACCCCCAGAATCAAGCGCGTGAATTCGGGGCGCGCTCTGCCGTACCTGGCTTGGGGACTTCCACACCAGGTTCCCACTGGAGCAATCCGGTCTTGCTTCCGTGAGCGCCTTGTTGGTGCGAGCTGCCGCAGGAGCCGGAGTTGTCTCTCGGAGAGGCTTTTGCTGCCCAGGGAGCGTATTTAAACAGCTTCATAAACAACAGGTAAACACCCGCTGTGGCTGACCTTCGCTGCGGTGGCCGCGGCGCTCCACCTCTGTACAACAAATTAATTGGGAAAGGAAGACAAAGCCTCAATTCTTCACCAGATGTCAAGTCTGGGGCAGAAAGAAGGGAAACGATTGAAAGGCAACCGGCAGTTTATAAATGCTACAAATTTCTTGTTGTGTAGCAGCGTGTTGTTGTGATTACAGACTGACTCACGTGTCAGCCCTGCTCCGTGCGCTGAGCAGTCGAGACACGCAGCTCCTTCACCCCGCGGAAAAGCCCACAGAGACCCCAAATCCCTCAAAGCCTGGCAAACTGCGTAGTCCCTCTGGACTGCCGTATCAGGAGCGGATTAGACAGTCGGGACGGGTTTTGGAAAGCTCCTTCCCGTCTCACCCAGCCTGGCTGAGCAGCGG